GCTTCACAGGAACATTGCAATGGAATTTTATTCTTGGAATGTGAAATTTAAAATGAAGTTTTCTCATTTCATAAGATTTAACTTTCATTATTCCATAAGTTTATTTGTCAAACTTATTGATGATATGTGCACAATCTCCTAATTACGCATAATCAACTGCGTAATTGAAATTGCAACGTCAAAGATGACCATCGATGAAGAACTCTTATACAGCTACTGCGTCTTCTCGCAACATCATTTAAAATGAACAAAATTTCTGATCCATTTTTAAATTCGTTCGATCTTCACGACAATCTTTCCAATTTCTTATACAATCGATCATAAATGGCATTCTGTCGAGCGCATTTTATTCGCTTAGTTCACTTGCAGGCATCCAAAGAACGTCTTCTTGACAAACTGCTGAGTGTTCGAGATACTCAAGTGGACGACAGAGATGAGAAAGAATCAAGTGCTGCAAACAGTGCTGAAAAATTAAAAGGTCATTCAACAAAACGCGCATCAGCTGAGCAGACTCCATCAGAACCGAAAGCGGATGGCAACGCAGAAGAACTGAAAGTGAACGAAACGAATCTGCAAATTTGTCAAACACAAGATTCCGCAAAGCGATTTAAAGAAAATAAACTGGTTAGTGGCTTCTGGAAAAGTATTCGACATCTTATAGCATCACCTCAAAAAACAAAACACTCTATAATTACTTCATCTTCTCGCATTACCATTCAAAGTAAACAAAATTTTTGATTATTTTTCAAACTTTCAAACGCATTTCTTTCTTTGGTATTTGCGTTAGATCAAGCCAATCGCTGACTGCAATGGCTAAGTCCTCCAGTTTTTGCGCATCAAAATGCAGTATAATTCGAACATGGCGTTCCGGTTTGCCACGATGTTTCTGGTTAGAAGCCGTAATACCAGTTATAAAAATGTGACGTGCATTTTCTTTCCAAAGAAATAAATAAACGATGAATAGATGAATAAAGAAGATATTATAATGTATTTAAGATCACTCCAAAGGATTGGTCAAATAAAAAAATCGCAGAATGTGCAACACAACATACGAAAGAGGACGATGCAAATCGAGTGGACGATATTGAGAATAATGGTAAAGAGGAAACTGCAAAGAATGGCAAAAAAGCCATGGTTTACAAGGAAGCCAGTCCAATTCTACACACGGCCCTCTTGAAGTTCAAGAAACTTGCGGATAAAAGTAGTAGAATGATGGCAAGGGACAAAAAAGAGGAAGGGAGCACTGATCCAACCCCTGGTACCCCTAGTCATGAAGGATCAAGTGGGGCAATACCTAGTTCCGAGCTGAGCGCAAAAGGCTAGAGGAGTGGATGCCACAATATCTCAAAAACAGGTTGCTATTAGAATGATTGTGTATTTGCCTTTTCTTGAAACTTATTAACCACAGTAAACAGCTGTAAGCTTCAATTAAATACTGTTATATTTGTGGATCA